TCCAACTTCAATCGAAAAGAATATGGGACAGTAATGTCATCAGAAGCGAACGAAATTGGATTAGAAAAGTTGCTAGAGATTTCTTGGAGGGCGGCCCTCCAGAAATACTTTGATGAGACGATGAATGCACCTGCGACTGTAGCAGCATACCTGGCTCATCCTTGCGTGAGAACTGATCTGCAAGTACGACTGGCTTGGTGCTTGATGGGCATCAAAAGGGCGGAGTATGAAGCCAGCAACGACTCGAAATCACGAGAACAGGAGCTAGAATTGATGGAAGCTTTACGAACATTGATCTCAAAAGACGATTCAGCGATAGCATGGGCTAAACGGAAGGATGCCCTTTGCTTTGTCAGGTTTGTGGTGGATCGCATCCCCACTCCTGTGTTGGGAGAATGTATAAAGATCATTCGGGAAAAGGGAGTTGATTGCGAAAGGAACTTCCTTAGGGCACTCCTAGAGCTATATCAGGACATGCCATTGACCGTGCCAAACAAGGAGTCGAATGATATGGAAAGCTATCGCAAGTTGGAAGAAGTGAGAAGATACTCCAACAAAGAATTGAAAGTGAGTCGAGACTTGATTGAAGCGGTCAGAGGACAAAAAGAGTTTGCAACCCTAGGGAGACTGAAGTCGTTCCAATACGTGTCTGGCATACCAGGGATGGCGTATAATCCCTTCGTGAACGAAGAAGCCAGGGAAGCATACTTCGACTACGAGCAAGTCACAGTGCTCAACTTCTGGGTTGAACGAATTAAGGAGATCGGAATGCTGATGGTGGAACAACCCAAGCTGGGAATTATTTTGGAGGAACGAGTAGTCGAACCCTCGATTCCCGAGCTAAAAGGGCAAGTGAGTTTTGATTGTGGTTCTTGGGACGGTCCCTTGAAAACCAGTCTAGTGGTGATGTGGGAACTCATGAAGCCTTCCTGGTGTCCCCATCCTAACGCAGGCTTAATCTGGGACATGACCGCGGATGTCATATTGGAAAGGGATGATGATGCGAGTTTACATGATCTGGCCATGATACATCACCTGCTAAGCATGAGATTGATGAAGAAGAAGAGCAACCCGTCCACGGAGCTGTCCGAGGAAGGTACGTCGAGTGATTGGTTGGAGCAAGGCACATGCTTGGCTCAACACAGTGGGATGGAAGGACATGTTTGTAACGTGGGACACTGCCTGATTACGCTGAGCGAGCAGCATCGACAACTGGCACGATTGTATGGAAGATTAAGCATGTCAGATAAGAGTGCCATGGAATTGGTCGCAGACTGCCATGGGGTGACGGACGTAAACCTGATCACAGCCTTGGGATTTTGTAGCATGACGAGTTCGATAGAATCGCTCGAGCGCTTGGAGCGTGCCCATGAGCTAGTGGCGTCCCTCAGCGTGGAGATATTCCCTGGAGCATTACAGACAGAGCAAAAGATTGGAGGCTGGCGAGAAGCCCTAGAGAATGAAATGAATCTGAGGGATAGTGAAGCCTATCACAGACCTACTGGTTCAAAATATATGGTGGGTTCAAGCTCCGCGCCATACTGCAATAGCAAGTATCCTACGCACATGGTGGTGATGGATGCGAGGACGCAACAGGTGTTGGTTGACCAGCTTTTCTCTGTGCCAAAATGCGTGAGGTTGGCCAGAATGTCAGAGAGGTCATATGACTTGTTGGCAAAGATCTTTCGGGCAGTCCCGAAGAGATCCGAAGGCGAGTTGCAAGACGTTGTGGGTGAAGAGTTCATGATACTGAACGAAGGCAACGTGAGTGAGTTCCAGAAGCAGAAAGCGAGTGGAGCGTTACCCACTGAATTCCCCACCATAGAAGAGAAAGACGATCTACATAGAATCCTGATGGAAGTGGAACCGTTGCTGGGAGCCTCAGGGTATCGAACCCGAAGGAACATAGTGAGAACCCACGGGGAATATCCTTGCCACTGCTTAGCGCAGACGTTGTGGTACCCCAAACGTGGGAACCTGATCCTAATTTGGGACGTGGAGGAGTTGTACTCCACGGGGTTGCCCGATCAGAATCAACCAGTGTCAATCGTGGTGGTTAGCGCCATGCTAGCAGTGAGATGGTTGGAGGCTTATGCGGACACAAATGAGCAGGAGATGGCCGTGCCGACTCCTGAACAGCTGAGCAACGTGAAAATGAGTAGTGAATTGGATCTTTTCAGAACCACTTGCAAGGTTCTGAGAATACCTAAAGCCATTGAAAGAATATGGTCAAGGCAAAGATTGATGCCTTGGTTCCGTGCAGTGATGACATCTTGGATGTATGAACGCGCGAAGCGTCACATGTCAAGGAACACGGAAGCCTATCAATCTTTCCAGCTAGACATAGGACCAGGAGCCTATAAGAGAGCTTTCCTGACGCATAGAAACGCGGTCACCACTGCGGTGAAGCGAGTAGCTGGAGCGCCTTGTGTTACTGAAGATGAAAAGAAAGAGGTCTTAAGAGCTGACCTAGAACGAAACGTGAGCCTGTGTCTTCACAACAGCTTTTGCAGGAACCGGGAGCAGAAGGTGAATGTGGACTTACTACCTTGTTGCAAACCGAGGCTGTTGGAGCAGGAGGGTTGGGGCACGGCCCGCAACTCTCTGGACATGTTAGAGAAAGTTCTGGAAGACAGTGACGCTGAACATCAGGATGGAGAAATGATGGAATGAAGATGACGGAGGAAGAGAAGAGAAGGAGAAAAAACTTGATTGTCTTTGTGTGTAAAAACTTGAACAAATCAACCAAGTTTTGATTATTGAACTTGTGAAACTTTTTGTTTTGATTTAGTTTGGTCAGACCAAACTTTGAAAATTGTTGCAATTGTTAAAATTGTTGAAATTGTTGATTTTAGTTACTACTATCTATGTATGTATATAAGGAGCATAGGTGAGTATATTTACCTATTTATTCCCGACTGAAGTTTTTAACCTGTGTAAGACACAAATTCACTGTGTGGCGACATGGTAAGTTTGAGTAAACTCGCTCGAGAAGGGTGGGTAACTCAATAACTTTCCTAGCCACAGAGTTTCTTAGTTTTAATATTGAAAGGACCGCATAAATGACTAATTATACTTGGTGAGTGAAGTTAAGTTAATTTTAACGGGTGCGTGGCCGTGCCACGTCCCACTTTTTAATCAGAAGCGAAAAGAAGTTTTATGGCGAGATGACGTAAGTAGTCAGAAAGGAAATTTTATCTAGGACACTCCTCATGGTGCAACTTTTGTGAAAATGTTGAAAGGCAGTGAGATGTAGTACGATGCCATTTGTGAACACGTAGTGAGTTGAGGTGGAGTAGATAAATTTCATTTTCTTATGCGATTTGTAAGATTGGTTACAGAAAACTGGATACCTACTTGACGATAACCCGGTGTTGTGCGATCAATAGGGACATTGATGGAGACTTGTCCGGGGAGTATGTGCCATTCCGCCGGATGACACAGTATAACCTTCCCGCGACGGAAAAAAAAGTGACTAAAGGCCTTACGAACAGAAAAGTGTTGCGACGGAGGGTCAGAATGTTCTGGAATTTTTATTTTTAAAATTTCGATTTGAAGGAGAACATTTCTGAGAAATAGAAAAAAGACGGCCATTTTGAATAAAATAGAGAAAAATCAGAACGACGCCATATTTTGTGACGAACGGTTGTATCCGAGACGAGAAAATTACGGAGCCTCTTATCGTGGCAATAACACACGATAAGGACCTTAGTGACGGATATTTGTGGAGACGGAGGCTTCAGTGGGGGGAAGAGAAATACCACGGAACCCTCCCGGGACACGAAATATAGGAGATAAGAGTGTTGTCTCAAGAAAATCACGGGAGCGGAGGCTTGGTCCCCCAGAGACTGTTATATGTGAAGGGACTGTGTAAACTAGCCATAACAGTTGCTGTAATGTCCTAGATCTGAATTAAACACCGTTATTATTTAATATTTCAGAGCATGAGTAGATAGAGAAAGGAAAAGGTCAATCCATCTCCAATGGATTTAATATAAAACTGTCACACAAAAACATATAGAAATAGGTGGTTCGAGCCGTGTTTTTAATGACAATCACGTAGTCTGAGGATCCGAGACTCAGCTATGTGGTTGTGTTCGCATGCAAACGAAAGCTGATCAAAAGTCGTTTGACTGATGGCCTAAAAATAGTAACTTTTTACTTTGCCCTAGACAGACCAGAAAATCAACTGGCAAGGTCGAGACGGTGAAAAACGAGTGGAATTAAGGTAACTGACGCCTGCCAGTCGTCAATAGGTACTTTTTCTACGCTCCGTCGCTGTGTGATATTTGGGCGAATGTTACACTTCCATTGAAGGTCCACTCTGTTCCATTCGAATAGGCGTCTTTTCTCAAGTCAGTATTCTATTCTCCTGTTTTCGGGATAAGACAGCTCTACTCTATTATTATTTCGTATCGAGAAATTGCGAATAGCAATTTCCTGCCGTTTTCTTGAGTAGTTTCCCGCAATTGTTCATTCGGTCGTTCTGATTTTTCACTTTGCATTTTCAGTTGGTTCGAGAAAACTGAGCATGACAGGCTCCATTCGAATTTTTTAAAATTAAAACTTCACTCCAAAATTACGTTTTTCTCAAGGTTAAACTTCCAGACACTTAAAATTCTAGAGTGTGTTTTGTGATTAATATGTTGAGGTAAGGCGAGTTTTAGGTTGATCCATCTGAAATGGATCAAAGTTCCACTGTCTAACAAAAAGTAACTTAACGGATTGTTCCGACCCGGTTTTTAACGGCGTTCATGTATTTTGGGTATTTTGAGACCTAAGTATGGGGACGTTCTTATTTCTAGGGTGGGGGATATTTTGGTAGTGGCCTTAAGCTGTAACGGGTCGTAGTCTCATGTCACAAGCGAACCGAATTGGCTTCGACTGATTTGAGGTGGAAAAACACAAGAGATAGTGTCCCTGACTCTTGAGCCAATGGTTAAGGGCCTATTTTTCTTGAGCTTCATGTGTGACTGCAGTAGACGAATGTTACATTCATTGCTGATATGTATATGCATTCATATCGCTGGTATGGCCCTATCCAGCTTGTGCACTTACCGTAACTAAACGGAAGGGCCCCTTTCGTGATTTAGTTTTTTTTTTAAAAAAAAATTGTATCTCTTTTAATTTCAAATAATAGAATGTGAGTCAGCTCTAAGAGTTGTAATAGCTTTTTTTTTCCGGTTTTGCTGAATCTGAAATGCCATCTAAAAATGCACAAATGGCCTCCATTGGGAGTTTCAATCAACGCTCTCCAAAAACAATCATGGATCCTAACAACTACTCAAATTTTCTGTTCTGTACTTCCTACTTCTTCTTGTGCCTGTTTGTCTGCAGCTTTATGATGGTGGTTGCGCATAATAACCTTGTAGCTGTTCAAGCACACACTCCCTTAAATGACTTTGCTCATCAATATACACCTCAATTGCTTGGAGCGGGGATGGAGTATTGTGAATTAGTGGCGATAACGCTGCTCTGTTTGGGTATGTAGTACATAATTTTAATTCCTTGAAAATGTAGGACATTGGTTAAACTACAAAGAGGATATAACGTTTCCCTCTATCTTTTTTTCGATTAGCAGAAGTGGTGCTGGTTCAGCAAAATGGTTAGGTTTTGACGATTGTAATGCAACGACGGTTGGAACGATGGAGTTTCGAAAGAAGAACTTAGCTGGCCTGGGGCTTTCAATGCAAATCGCAGGACCTCGTCATCAAAAATCACAAAGGTGGATGTTTCGATCCCATATCATCAAATGTTTGGACGCGTCATCAATGTTCTACAAAGTCGGATGTTTCGATCCCATATCATCACATGTTTGGACGCGTCATCATTGTTTGTCAGGATGAGGTATATCAAAATTGAGGTTTTGGACTATATCAGAAGAACGTGACTTGCGCTGGATTTAAACGTTCTGTTTTTGGTATGGATTATCTAAGAATCCTTGATTATAGCTTCGTTGTTCCGAGTAAAGTTAAAGAAAATTAAAAGCTCATTTGGTCACGTTTCAGCTATATGCACGCTGCTAATCAGGAGCGACCGTGCTTTGATCTGGTGCCGACTGGCCAATATTGCTGGCACCGTGTTCCTTCTGCGAGCTGCCAGCATGTTTCTAACCACGATACCTATACCTCACTCAGACATACAGTGCCACGAGGGCATTCTTGCCACAACTCCCTTCGAGTATCTTCAGAGGACTGTGAATATTTACTTGCATGGGGGGCTTTACATCAACGGCGTGAAAATATGCGGGGACTACATGTTTTCAGGTTACGTTGTTCCTGTTTTTGTTTTTAGAACAGTTTTTTTTTGGAAATTATGGCTGTTTTACGATCACAGGTTGATATGCTGGATGAAAAAGTTTTGACTGAACTCGAAAAACATGCAAATTGTTGAATCACTTTTAACCATTCACTCCATTTTTTTTTGTTTTTTTTTTTTCAATTGTTTTCTTGGGTAAAGGCATGCGGTGGTGTTAACTTCTGTGTCAGCGCAAAATTGAAAATACTATATACTGGACAATCAACCCTGAGCAAATTTTACTTTTCTTTGACTGTTCCAGGTCATACAAGTGGAATCACACTTCTGAGCTTGTTTGTGTGCCACTACACACCTGAAAGCTTCTGGCCTCTTCGGAAATGTGTCTTCGTTCTAAATGTACTGGGAACCTTCTTCATCATTTGTGCTAGAGAACATTACTCAGTAGACATTCTCATCGCGCTTGTAGTCTGTGTGCTATGTTTTAACTACTATCACGCTTTGGTCGATGCTAGGCATACGTCCAGTTGGTTTTATCCAACTTATCCTTTTGCAGAAGAATTTAGAGAGCATAAAAATGTGTTGTATCAGTGGCCATTTGCCAAACCGGCTTACTTGTCTGAGCTGACGAGGAAATTAAATTTAACGATACGAGATCAGAAGTTCAATTAGAAAAAAAAATGATTTCTAAATTCAAAAAACTAAATCTTCGAAATATGAAATTTGCATCGTCCGAAAACAGCGTCAGAAGGCGTGAAAGGAAATAAGCTTCTTTTATTGCAAAATTTTTGCATTGACTGTTTTTTTTTCGTAAAATAATGTAAATAATTCAACTGAAAAACAATCAGCTGCGTAGTTTTAGAAATCATTTTCGCTCAATTTTGTTTGTACCATCAAAAGAACTTAATTTAGCGAAGAGCTCTATGGTAGACTCGCTGTTGTCAGAAATGTTATCATGCTGAATTTGTCGCCCTATAATAAACTGCTTTGTGTGCTCATTATTGATGTGTAGATTAAATAATTAGTTGTTTTTGCTAAGTTTCTATTACTGAAATTTCCAAACCTTGTAATCATGGCGTCAAAAATCAATTTGATTACAAAAATAGCTACTCAAGAATTGTCAATTTATTACAAAAGCAGGTCGGATTCTATCTAAAAACAGTCAGCAAAGCTGATCAACTATGCTTTTTATATCTGATTAAATACATTTAGTCGAAAGTATTATACTCAGCTTAATGATTTTTTTTGCGTTTACTGATAGTTGGATTGTGTGTTCGGCCCACGTGATATGAATGGAAAATATTTTTGTGCTAGCCAGTTAAATTTGAATTTCAGTTTCTATCGATTTGTTTTTTTTTCTGGTACTAACCATGGTCATTGTTGAAACTAACTGATAATAAAAAGTATGACAGGGTAGCAGACGGATTTAAATTTTTTCGTATCATTTCTTTATTTTATTGACCAAATTGTAAGTGAGCTCGCTGACATGTTATGGTATTCGATTTTCTATTCGAAGAGGTATAATAAATATTGTATCTAATAATAACTAATCTCAAAAAACAATTTCATAATGAAAAACTTGCACTAACCTGATTTTCATTGAACAAATACAATAAAATATCATATTATCCTTTCGTGTCGTGTTTATTTTTGTCTTCATTTCGAATTGAGATAACCAGTGTTTTGCTTGGTAATACTAGTGTTATGGTTATTGCAATTCCTCTGAAATGATCAACCGTACAAATATCTATCATAAATTTTGGTCAAAAGGAAAGTCATTGTGGAAAATTTAACAAACATGCTTGACTTTCAAAGATGTGGCTATATATGGTTATTCTGGGTTTTCGGCAAAGCTCTAAAATACCTCAAAAGTATAGCCTCCAAACCCCACCACTGTCTGAAAACAAATAAACTGACTTCAAAATTTTCGTTCATGGTTAAGATAACCCGGACCAAAAAAGTGGTATTGAAAGTTTTCAAAGCTAAAATTAAGCTTCTATTTAAAACATGTACTTGAGTTAAACGTCATTAACTTAATGCAATGTGCTAACTTTGTGCGGTTGAGCATCTACGGTGTAAATAAAACAAAGAAGCAATCCAAATTTCCCTAAACCATGCGTACATTTCATTTCAACTGATATTGTGAAAAATAGTGGTATCTTTTGTGAATAGATTTATAAAGTTATTCTTACTCATTTACTGTTGCTTACTGTAGCTTACAATGAAAACTAAAATTTTTTTCTCTAATTTTTGAGTGCCTTCCTTAACCTGACGTGTAAATTCAAATTTCAAATCCAATTTTGAATTCCATTTGTTTTATTTGAGATTGATTGGATTATTAGTCAGTAAAACAAAGGTTCCGCTTGTAGAAAAAAATCACGGGTATTTTTTTGTTCAAATCCAATTGGGTCATCGAAGAGGTAGTTTGGTCATAAATAGTTGTTCATAGAATACAATATTTCAACTGCAATTGTTTTTTTCTATGTAAAAGAACGAATTGATTTTCACTTATTTAGGTCTTGATGATTTTTTTCCAAGGAAAAGTATTCCAATTTGTTCGTGCTCATTTTTTTTGCAGTATGATTTCTTTCAGTTCACTTCATTTCTCTTTGTTCAATGAAGGACAATTTCACCATAGAACAACAAAAACGAAAAACGTGAATGACTTCACGTTTCAAAAATGTACTTCAGTTTATTGAATTCCTAGCGGAATGATAAACACATACTGATGCTGTCGTAAGTGCCAATCATAAACTTATTTGTAATTCAAAGCTTCAACGTGGTATATGTTATTTCCAAAACTTTTCAATCAAGTTTTTTTTGGTTTGGTTGTTCTAATTGGCGTTTCCAACTTTGTATTGAATGTTTTTTAAATTTTTGAGGATGAACGTTGCCAAAGTTGATGATCCTATTTTTTCAACCATTTTGGTCAAAACTTCTAATGCTCATCCAATTTTTCGCAATCAAATAAAGCTTAATTTAAGTGCCTCACGTTTTAACAGCTTTTTCATTCAATATCAGGTGCTTCAAGATCAAATTTCTATAAAATTTTTGTTACGCTTGTATTAGCAAGCGTTACCAAACTGGAATATTGACTTTTATTCGGGTTAATAACTAGCTTAACTGAATCATTTGATAGCTAGTTTTATTAATGAAGTTATTTTTCATGAAATAGTGGGTCCAGTAGTGTGGTGGTAAAGAACGGGGTTTTGCCGTGAAGGATCAAACGTTCGAATCCGACTTTTTTACGAGTGCCAGTTTTTTTAAGAGTCGATGGACGTAGTTTAGTCACCATTATAGGTCGCGATAATTTTTTTTTCGTTTTTACTTTACAGGAAAAGCTTTTTTTTCAGGCTCAAATTTAAGTTTTCGCAGTTTGACTTCTGATTTCTTTACTTTTGCGACAAGCAAGGGTACTGCAATCGGGTAAAAGACTTTTTTCCCTTAAATAACTTTGTTCACAGGACTCATCTGGACTCCTGGTGTTACCTCGGTTCATAATGATATCAAATTTGTTTTGTGTCTCCTGCACAATTAGCCTGAAGATAACGAATACGCCTCGGACGCAATGGTCCTGGGTTTGAATTTGACTAGAATTTGTTTTTTTTTCAAACGGTAATTTTTCGGTTTCAAAGAAGTTTTGGCCTCTAATTTGTCTGCTTACAATTTTTTGGCTTTGTAGTCACATCTAAGAATCATTTTTTTGTTATTTTTTTCGACGGGTCCTGTTTTTTTTTGCAAACTAGAGTTTTGTGTTTTTTTTCGGGCTATCGTCCGTCTGTTTATTTTTGTCAGCATAACTACAGTAGACCTATTTTTTTTGGAAGGTTCAGCTTTCTTAGAAGTTTCTTTAACTCCATGCTTGAGACGAAAGAGTTTGATTCCAGTTCCGCGGAAATGATTTTTTTTGAAAACTTGGTTTCTTTCTAGAATTCCGAAAGGTCTTTGTAAAGTTTCGAATGATGCAGGCAATTTTTTTTCGGCTTTTGCAATTTTTTTGACAAACACGATTTTTTGACGTTTTTTTTCTTCAATTTTTCGGTTTGATTTTAATCATTGTCATTCATACTTGTATCGCAAATTGTGCGAAGTTGAGCTTCGCCTTTGTTTTAATCAAACAATCAGATTGAATTACTTGAAAAATGCGAGAAAAGAAAGAGCGGTAAAATGCAAGAAAGAGCGTAGGAAAGGTAGAGCGCTGGAAAGGTAGAAAAAAAAAAACAGCTTTAAATTTCTGGAAGTTTTAAAAAAGGGAGTGGAGCCTCTCGATTTTTTGTCTAATTTAGTCTGACAAACGAAGATTTGTCGAAGCAGAGCTTTAATTTTTTTTTGCAATCCAAAAACAAACAATAGGTCTTTGATGAAACCAAACTTGACCGCCTTCAAGCTTTCTCCGGGGTTTGGAAAATTAGTTTAAAAACGGATCCTGTTACGTAATCTTTTTTTAATCTTCGAGAGTGGTTGGAACTGTTGAGGATTCGAAGTTAACCACTAAGTTTTTTCTTCGCAGGGTTGTATTTGTTAAATTAATGAACGAAGCAGTACGTTTCCCCCAAAAAGGTTTTTGTGATTCAAGTGCGTTGCAGGTTTTATGTCAATGAACGTAGTGAATACACTTTTTTCGTTCGTGTTGATTTTTGTTCCGTTTTGTTTTTCAGAAAGAATGCTTTGCAACTCTTGCGCGGACTTGATTTTCGCCTCAGATGTGATTTTCGCCTCATGCCTTCTGTTTTTCTAAACAAGTTCCCTTCTCAACACAAAAGTTGCCTAAAAATTCCGAGTGACTTTTAGTTTCAAAAAAGAAATAGAACTTTCTGAAATTCCAACGGAAAAAAAATATTCTTTTTTTTTAGCAGAAACAAATCGGTTTCATTTAAAAATTTCAGTCATAAAATTATCTGAACTTTTTTTGAGTTCTAAAGATGAAAACTTTTTTTTTCATTGACTCTTCAGGCATTTGATTTTTTGTTGCTCTTGTAGAGGTTTTTGAATCTTTTCCAACTGTCTGTTGGCTTCGTTTGCATGCACTGATTTTTAGCTGCCTAGTTGATTGGAACCTCAGCTGAAAATGTACATGTGAACTTAATTGGACTTTTTACATAAGAATAACACATTAAAGTGAAAGTGCAAGATACTGGAAGGTTGTGATTGATATCTTTGGCGATTATGTGCGAGTCCAATTAATGCTAGTCCAAAAATTTTGTAATATTGATAAAGCTCTAAATTAGTTTTTTTTGTGCGATTGTTAACGAAAAAATTCTTTATGTTTCAGAAACCGACGAAGAGTCTGACTTATTTTGACATATTTTGTTAAATATTTTTTCTCGCTAGTTATATTTTTTGAAATATGAAAGTTCAAACACGTTTCGTCGGTGGCCTTTTTCCTTGACACTTGAACGCTAACTATGCTTGGTGTTCTTGCTCTGAACCTGTTTTGATAAAGAAGTCTGTTTTTCAAGTAAAAATTAGTTATTTTAAAAACATACATTTTTTGAGATAGCGCTGTCTGTTGAACTTCTTCGTTTTTTTTTGCATAGGGATTCTTCTGATATAATTTAACTGCTTCTTGGATAAAATGGAGTCTTGAAAAACACTCTAAATAGAAGTTATTTTTGAGCTGGTTCAGTACTATTTTTTTTAGAAATGTATGTACATGATAGATAAATTGCCTTTTTACTTTATTAACTGTTAATGAACGTAATGAAGACATTTTTTTAAAGGTCATGTTGATTGTTGTTTTTTTTTCTCAGGAAAAAGCGTCCTACAATTCTCTAAAAAGGCACAAGTGCATTTATGCATATTTTTGCACTTATGTATTTGCGGACTTCTGAGATCAAATCATTTTGGTTTGCTAAAAGGCAGGCACATTTCGCTCTCCAACTACGAAATTAAAAACGCGAAAGAAAGTGATTGGTTCCTAATTTCGAAATTAGATTTTAGTTTTAAGAAATGTTACCCGAACAAAAATGGTACCTATTGCTCGATGTTACCCATTTTTTCAATTTGAGTTATTATGATCAAAAAAGTTTCAATCAATAATGATCCTTGAAATTCAAAGAGCTCAAACGCTTTTTTTTCTTTGAATTCGAAAATTGAATATTTTTTTTGTTTCGCCTTGAATGCATTGAAAAAGGTTATTTTGTCTACTGGCTACGTTTTAGATGGCGAACAGCTCTATCGTTTTTTTTGCATGAAAATTTGTTTATTTTTTGAGGTTACGTCAGGTAACTAGCCTAGCTATAAACGTTATTTTTTAATTTCCGTTTCCGACTTTCGAAGAAAGTCAGGAAAAAATGACTGGGTTGTTTTTCGAGATAGTTGTCATCCTGCGAGGATCGATCTTGTAATCTACGCATTGCCAAGCGAGTTTCCTTGCTTTCGCCCAACGAATTGTGTTGAAAATCGCTCAACTATTATTTAAGAGTTTCAATGCACGAATTATTTATGTATGGCGAATTATATCGCGCTCATTACGTTCCAAAATGAATTGAGGCAAATTAATTGGACATATTGACTCGACCCACATTTCAGTCCAAAATACATAGTTTATCAAAGTTTTATTCAATATATTTTTTGTATTCGAGACCAGTATACGAGCACCCTTGTTCGGTATATCATGACACCCTTGCCAGAACCAGCAAGGAAGATAAAGCATAAATTGCTGCACGAAACTCAAATTTAAATGTGGCAATCAATTAATAGTAATTGCGAAACTATAAAATCAATTCGTTGTTGCTAAAAAATATACAAAGTTGCATGCCCCTAGAGCTTTTTTGTTCATCTTCAGGAAAAGTTTAATCTCAGAAGTTTTAAAATTTAGTTGCATGGAATATTTATCTGAGTTTGTGAAGTGGTTTGATGAAACTTCGCGAATTGTAGTTGACCATGGACCCAGCCATGTTGCGACATGTGCAAGATATATATATCTTTCCTAATGGAACGAAAGTTTAAGCTACAGTTATTTGCATCGTTAAATTGAATTATAAGTAATTGCCCTTGCGATAAGCAAGGGTGTTGCAACCGAGTGCTAGATGTTTTTCGCGAGTTCGATTCCGGTCGCGACCTGTTCTTTTTGGCAAACTGGAAGTTTTCGGCTGTTTTAGACTATCGTTTGTCTGCTTATTTTTGTAAGTTTAGTTCTAAAAAATTATTTTGAAAATTCGGCTTCTTTCTGGCATTTCAAAAGCTCGTTGTAAGGTAGCTAATGTTGCAGTTAATTTTAAAAGACAATTTTTGTGACTTTTTTGCAATTTTCGTAAAAAATTTGAAGTTTTTTTGCGTTTTTGATTTTTCATTTGCTGTTAATCGAATTCATTCATTTTTGCATCGCAAGTGCTGCAGAGCTCAGCTGTACATCTGTGATGCCAAATTGTAAAACAAAATTATGAATGGCATTTTAATTGTTGATAATTTTTTAGTAATTACTGAAATCACATGAAAGCAAACAAAGATAGAATGGTTAAACAGGTCTTGTATAAAATGGTTTTCTTACGCTTGCGATTAGTAAGCGTTATCAAACTGGAATAAAGACTTTTTTCTAGTTAGCGTTATCAAACTGGAATAAAGACTTTTTTCTAGTTAGCGTTATCAAACTGGAATAAAGACTTTTTTCTAGTTAACAACTAGTTTAACAAAATCAGTTAAATCACTTGCTGACTTCTTTTCACGCCTTCTCTTAACATCTTCCAGGTTGCTTCACCATGGTCTGGAGATAAATAAGGCACCTTTGTACCGTAAGGTCTGGGATTCGAGTGGTGGCCGGACCTTGCTATTTTCAGTATCCATGAAATACAAAAAAAATCCGAGAAAAATGAATTGTTGGGTTTTTCGTTTAGTCGCTCGCTCAAGTTTTGTCGGCTATTGTTCATTCTAATTTCAGGGCCGACTTGAAAGATTTTTTTTTTCATATTTTTTTCGGTTCTATTAGTGTATGCTCAAAGATTGTCGGCTTAGTTGCGACATTACTGATTTTTTTTGCTGCTAGCAACTTTCTTTTTGTTGCAAGTACAAGTGCTGTTCTTTCTAGTGAAGGGGACTTGACAGATTCAAAAAAAAAATTTTTTTTCGGTTCAAGTGGTTTCAGCTCAAAGATTGTTGACTTAGTTGCCACATCACTGATTTTTCTGGTGATGTAAACAAAATTCATTTTAGTTGCAACTGCAATTTTTGTCCATTATTGTTTAAGGTGGGACTTCAAACTTTTTTGTAAAATCAAATTATTTTTTCGGCTCAACATGTGTCTGCTTAAAGATTGTGTCTTGAGATTACTCTTCGCAACTTCCAGAGCATGATTAACTTCCAGAGCATAATTCTTGTTTCTCTGAGCTCTTCAGTAGATTTTTAAAAAATTTTTAGAGTTTCAAGAGGAACATCGCAAGCTGTTCCTTCATTTATGAATCATCTACCAATTCAAAGCTTTGGGTATCTGCATGCAGCTTGCTCTCTTTTGATCAGTACCTCACTTAATTATCATGACATTTTGCGTTGATCAATGCTTGTTGTTCCGACTTTCCATACGAAAGTAACGGAATATTTGGGCTCGGGGTGGATTTTTTTTTCTGCAGACAAATTTCGACTTTTTAACTAGCCATTTTTGACGGATTTTTTTAATATCATTCGAAAGGTATTGTTGTCCTGAGCTCAAATTTGAAAAGATATTTCACCTGTGATCATTTTTCGTAAAGTTCCGGGGGTTTAACGATTGCCATTTTGGCCAATTTGGGACAATTAACGCGCGATATTTCGCGCTATTAACGCGTAAGCGGAGATTTAATCCGTCTTAGAAATCGTTCCAAATTGGTAAAAAGAAGCTTATTTGACATAATTGGTTTGTTACAAGGAGCGAAATCTATCCTTTTGTACTTTAAAGGCGTGGGGGGATGATTTTCACAAAAAATTTCAAATTTTAGAAAAAAAAATTTCATTTTGTTCTATTTCATTGAATTTTTTAATGTTATTATTGCTCCATAAACCTTAAAAGGCAGTCGGAACATTCAGGGCTTCGCCCTGATACGAGCAGTCTTGTTTAGTTTCGCATTTAAATCATTTAAAATTCTGCTTGAAAAAGTTCTCGTTTTAAATGAAACAAATCAAGTCCATTATTTGTTTTCATAGAAAAACCGTGCGAACATCTGATAGCATGAAGATCAGATATAGGAGTAAACATTCGAAAATTTCCAACAAAGCTGCAAACTTCCGAGGTTTTCTGTAATATGTATTCATTACAATTCGGTACGTAAATAGTGTAAACAGTTGTATTGGCCTGTTTTGCTGGCCTTCAAAGTTTCAAAATTATTGCACCATAAGACGGTCGAGTTATGTCGCAATTTCAGTTGTTTTGCTTTGTCAAATGTCATCGCTAGAGCCCAAATTAGAAATAATAATAATTAATGGTGAATAGTTGAGTCACTACCCCTTTTAATCAATTATTTGGTTAGATAATGTTTAAGTTCAATCTGTTTTTGGTGAAATCATGGGCTATTTAATCAAACTTGTATCAATAGATGTGTCGACCGATAATAAATTCAGATTCAGTTTATCTTATCGGTATAAGTGGAACGTCCAAATTAAATTTCATTCTCAATTAAATGCGCTGAAGTTAACTTGCTCTGTTTTTGTTCAATTCATCAAGTTAATTCAATTTTCAGATGATGGCGGATACTTATGTAAATGGATCGGCTAAAATCATCAAAATAGGCAGTCGAGATAGCGAATTGGCCAAACTTCAATCGAATATTGTAATTGATCAACTTCGAAAACACGATGTCTCAAGTAAGTTCAAGTTCGATCTGGTTACCATGAAAACCATTGGCGACCAAATATTAGACAAACCTCTAGCGAAAACTGGCGAGAAGAACTTATTCACTCGGGAACTTGAGTCGGCTTTACACGAAGGGACAATTGATATGATAGTTCACAGCTTGAAAGACTTGACAACATCATTGGAAGAATATTTCGAAATTGGAGCAGTTATGAAACGAGAAAGCCCTAACGATGCTGTAGTTTTAAGAAAGTCATTAACTATTAGTACTGAAAGTGATTATAAAAGTCTAAATGATTTTCCGGACGGTTTCAGAATTGGAACTAGCTCATTAAGACGAACAGCTCAACTTAGCAGAAAATACCCGAATTTGTTGTTTTCTTCCATTCGAGGAAACTTGAATACTAGGTTGAGAAAACTAGACCAGGGGGATTTATACGATGCAATTATTTTGGCCGAAGCCGGCTTGGACCGACTTGGTTGGAAGCCGAGAGTTTCTTTCGTTTTGGATCCAAAAATTGACGATTCGTGTTTATACGCAGTTGGACAAGGTGCACTAGCGATCGAAATTCGAAAAGACGACGAAAATATTGCGAGTATTATTAGATGTTTGAATCACAGAGAAACGGTTTTGCGCTGTTTAGCAGAAAGATCGTTTCTAAGATTGCTTGACGGGGGCTGTAGCACGCCTATAGGTGTTACAAGCTCTATAGAAGAAGTTTTGACTGAAAATTCAATAGAAAATAGTTGGAAAATGTCCTTAACTGGTCGCGTTTTGAGTTTAAACGGTGAACAAATCATTGAATCACGTCGAGATTGTAATTATTTGAAACACGAAATAACCTCAAAAGGTCACAACATTACAAGCTCAGGAGACGAAATCGATCACAAGACAGCAAAACTTGAATTTGAATTGACTGGATTTCATAAACTGTTAATTGATGATTTGAATTCACTGATGGAAGCTAGTTTGCTTGGCCAAAGTTTAGCTGATGATTTGCTTGCCCAAGGTGCTAAAAAGTTATTGGATGATTGCAAAGAAACGATACGAAATGAGGTTTTGAATGGGAAAATGAACCCTCAGCAAACACAAAATACTAAACATAATAAATTAAAAAGTGAAAATGCGACCTGAAATTGATTGTATCACTTAGCAGAGTTGTTAAAAAAGTAATAAAAAATTTCTTTCTAGTTTTCTATATGAATTAGCCTATGTCAATAATGCTTGTTAGCTCCGACTGTTTCCACGGAAAGAGATAAACATCTACGACAGGTTTGTTTTAACGCGATTGAAGTTTTTGTGAGGACCAATATTAAGGCATCGAGTATGTCATTTGGAATCATTTTCAGCCGTGGTGCGAATTTCAGGAACATTTTTTTACAAACGGTCGAAAAAGTTTCTGGATACAAAACTGTAACCATAATAACCATAAACCTCTCTCCCTAATGCATGATTTTATGACGCCCCCCCCCCCCCTCAGGGATTCGAACCCCTGCCAACCCAAAGGGTCCCTCCTTTGGTACTTTTTAAGAAATCAATTTTTGGCCGAGCAACCTTAAAATTTTTCTAAAGGCGCCATCGGCGCCAATATATACTAATTTTGAGGGGGGAGCGCGCGCCGGAAAAACGCGTTTTTTTTTGTCAAAATTTTCCAAAAAGTGCTTAAAAACCGTATTTTTGACCTCTTTTTTTTAAATAATTGCCTGCGGCGCAGAAAATTTGGCCAAAACAGGGTCTTTTTACTGCTTTGGGAAAGCTCGGAAAACCAATCTGATCGACCTTAGAAAAAAAAGGGTATTTTGTTTAACCAAGGAGAATTTTGAAAAATTTATCAAGTATCCCGAAAAAAAGTTCCCGGAGTGTCTGAAATTTTAGTATCATCCGATTTTCGCACTAGATTTTGCAACTGAGTTTTGTTCCAACTGATTTTCAACTGCGTTTTGTAGCCGGCTACTCTTTCGTGATGTTTTACCCATTATTTTTACTCTTGAGATTTGCAAAATTTGTAAAATCGGAACATAGACCTTTTTAAATGTAAACAAAATAGCCGGTTAATGCGCAAATAGCAAAGAATATTCCGACCATAGTCTACAAAAACTACTAAAAAAGATTTTAGTGTAGTTTTTAATGCGTGGTGCGATAAAAGGCTAACAAATTTATAATTTAGGCTCATTAGACAATCATAGCAAAATATGCAAACTAAACAGGACAACAGTTTTTGATAGAATGACTAGAAAAAAGAAAAACTTTATTGAAAATTTTTTAAAAAAGTTGTTTTTTTGCAGAATTTTTTTCTCGAATTCCCAAAATGGCATTAAAATCTCCACAAACTGATTTTACTCGAAATTCATTGTAATTGAGCTTTTGTAATCGGCGTAAAATAAGAAGAAAATTATACGAAAACTATTCGGTTTTTCTCGACAGCAGAGAGAAAAATTTTTTAAAAGTGGTTCGAATTACGACTGAAAGGGCTTCAATATAATGTATCACTCAAACCTATCGCTCGTATTTTGCCAGATATTGGATAGAAGCTATTACTATTCCACGCGACCTTTATGATTCAATTATTTTTAAGAGCACAGAAGGCACGATCTTTGTTCTTATTGCAGAAATACAATACAAAAAACTCGTCTTTTGGATTGCTTAAATTCTAGAAAAAAAAACTATTTTTTTACAGAAAGAAATAACTTTTTTAGTGACGTCTATCTATCGAATGCTTTTCTAAACAAAATCAATTTTTGGTGTGTAACGTATCTTTTTGAAGCTGATTATAGGTGATTTCGGGTTAAAATAAAAAATTCGCAAAGAAAACAGGTGGAAGTATGTGCTTCTCAGAGTGAAAAATAGAGGTTGATTTGATAAAAACAGACATTATAAAAGTTTTAAAGTATGTTGTATTGAACAATTAAATTTTGACGATCCGAAAGAAAAGTTGTAATGAATCAATCATAGAATAATATTTAATCCGTTTCAGTCGTACTTCTTATTCCAAACAATTCAAAAGATTGTCTCAATTTCGATAAAAAATTCGAAAGTGCATGTTTGAGAAAAATGATACCAAGCATGAAAATTTGAAAACTGCGAATGAAACCATGAGAGATAGAAATGAGAAGTTCAAAATAAAAGTATAAAAACCTTATAGAAAGAATACATTTTAACCATTTCTGCCAATTTTAATTCGGTTCTGATACATCGTATCATCTTACATTTAGTTTTTTGGTCGAAAGGATTTGAACTTTCTGTAGTATTTTCTCCGCAGATGTCACCACTCATATACTAGTCAAGCGTAGCGTGGTCAATTAAGATAAAAATTAACGCAAAATTGAAAAATCAGCAAGCCTGTTTTCTTGGATCGGGGCTTGAAGTTAAATCAAAATTGCTGATTTGAAGATAAAACTAAATTTCAGTCTTTCTTCTCTAAAACAAACAAATGATTTTTATTTTTTCAAAAATAGTTTTCATTTTTTTATTGGATTTATCTCAATATGGTAGGATCATATCAAAGTTAAATACCGGATAGAAATGTTTCTCTTTCTTCTCGGAAAGATTCGAGCCCGATGCTTTAGGATAATAAAAGAAGCCTCTCGTGATTTTGACCAGAAATGAAGGACAGTATAAAAAGATAAACAAGTGTAAACTAAAAAAAACTATTACAAAAGAGATTGTGAATTATTTCTTTGGCGAGAAAATGGTGTTGCAGTTTTATCTCAAGCGAAGTATGACTTTCTCCGCTGATCTCAACACTCAAATACTCACCGTATCGTAGTCGAATAAGCTAGGAGCTATCGCGAAGTCGAAAAACAAGCATGCTCACCTTGTTCGATCGGCGGCCTGAATTTTCATTAAGTTTTTGATGATTTGAAGCAAAAATTAGATTTTCATCTTTCTTCTATGAATCTTTCTTCTCTCAAAGACTCGTATACTTTTTGCAAGCCTCTTGCTCGAGCTGTTTTTTAAATCTAGGTCAATAAAAGATGGCTCATAATGATATTGACAAAAAATCTGCTTTTTTATTTAGACTTAGCTTAATATAGCGGGATTATTATTTTAAAATGTTTGCTAAAACGGATGAAAATTATCTCACGACCCCAAGGTTGTAGTTTTCCGAAAGAAAAAAATCTTGAACTTAAAAATTTTTTTAAAAAATAAACAAAAGAAACAAACTCACATATATTGAGAAAAAATGTAAGTGTTGTTTTTCTTCTAAGTTAGATTCTATTTTCACAAACTGTAACACTCTGCAACCTTTTTTCTTCAGAGCAATTGAATTTTATGATTTTTCAGAAATTTAGTTCCAGTAATAGTTGCTCGCAAACAATGCCAGATATACTCTAAGAAGTCAGAAAAGATATTCCTTGAAAAGAAAAAAACAAATTTCTGGAGTCTGGAAATTGTGAAATACATAAGTAGCCTTTATCGAACTATATTTAAATCATCTTGATGATTTCTTCCGCTTTTTAGTTTCAAGGAAAGTACTCAATTATAATTGGTTTAAAACGCCAAAAAAATTGACCCATGTAATCAATTTTTGTGACCATGAAAATGTAGGGGATTTTTAGGGGATGTTTAGGGGATTTTAATAGATTCATTTAAATTTTTTAAAATCCAAATTTTTTTATTATAGTTTGTTTTTATTAGAAAATAAATCAGTTGTTTTTTGTTAACAAATCCACAAAAATTGAGAATTTATTTTGCAAACTTGAAATGTTTACTCTAATTGTCACAATGCGTTCTGCAAAACTAAAACCAGAACGAACATGTTCATCCACGTGCACCCCTTCCTCCAACTTTCACGCCTCCAATCCCCTTCAACATCCCCAGCCACTTTCCACTCAAACCTCACCACCACACCACACCGCCAAACGCCAACACACCCTAAAAGCCAACCCCCACCCTAAAACCACCGAAAACTCTTGCAGACCCCACACACACAAACCCTAAACCCCTCCCTCTGCACCCCCTTCATCATCTCACCCCTCACGTTTCTTATTTATCCCCCTAAGATTAACCCCCTGGCAGGGGAGTTGGTTAAAGTGAGATGAGGGGTAAACTGTGGGGGAGGTGCGGTAGAAACTTGGGGGTGAATCGATTAGAGGGGGTAGCTTTAAGGGGACCAATTATGAGATGGGGGAGAAGAATGGAATGAGGGACGTAAATTGCGAAGGCGTTAAAAAAATCTGTCGAAACTTGAAGAAATTAAACAAAAAAATTATGAAGTTAAACAGTTGAAAACAAAATAACAAATTTAGTAGCCAAATCAATTCTTCTTTTAAAATTTTGTTGATAGAACGTTATAAATAAAAACCAATTGCGAATTTGTGAAAACAATGCACTGCTTGTAACATTTTGACAATTTTTGGAAAAAAGAATTAGATTAATCCATTATAATCGATTTAAATGGATTATAATGATTTGGCAAAAAATAGATTAGAATGCATTGATGAGACTGACAATGAAAACATAGTTAAATTATTTCTTGTCCATGATACTTCAAGGTTTTGATTTTAGGTAATCTGCATCATGATTTTGTTTTTGATTTTTTTTTCAAGAAAAGTTCTCAATACTTGTTAACAAGAAAATAAGTTTTCTGAAGTTTGATTGAATATATTGCTGGAGTTGAAAGGAGTTTTTTAAATAATTTTCAGTAATTTTTATTTTTGATTAAATTAATTGAGTACAGTCCCCATGTCTTTTATCTTTGTAACTATTTTGATTTAGCTGAACTATTTTTTTGCTTTTTGATCACCATCAGAGCTACAAAGAGCAGGATTCTCTCGAGGAGAGTTTTATTGCATCCGACTATTCAGTTTAAGGGAATCTTTTTCACATAATTAATGGTTTGCGGTCGTAAAACTTTAAAACCAACGTTCTAGGCGCAATTTTGCTAGACGAATAAACACTTAATTAAAAAATCCAATTTAGAACATGTTTTTTGATGCAATAATTACATTATTTAATTACATGCAAAAATTAATTTGGTTATAATTACATCGAGTTACGTAGTAATTATAACCACAGCGAAGGTTTTTGGATTAAAATTGATTTCACTGGACTTATGTGCTGACTAAAGCGTTGTCTGTAAAATCGGTTACTTTGGTAAAACTGGTCAGCTCAATAGATTTTTGATCGATTAAAGTCCAGCGATTTCAAAAAAAAATTCTGAAAAACCTTTATGATTTGTTATAATACCTTTATG